AATATCATACCTTGGATGCGTAAAAGTCCATGAAATCCAGTAAGATTACATTGTTGACCAAAAGGTGTTGTATACATGTATGTAATAATATTAACCGAATATTACCTCCAGTGTAAAAAAAGATACTATCCTCTCCCTTTATAAACAAAAATCTACATTACTTATTTTTGTTTATATAGTGTTACATTACATGAAAACATGATTAGTTTATCAAATCAATATCGGTACTTCTCAACTTGTAATTAATAGGCCTACCTTTTTCTGAAATATTTTAACCACGCATATTTGTTCAACCAGTTCTGTAGAATTCCAGTCAGTGTTTAGCAGTACGATTGTGGGGTGAAACTGCAGAATTAGTGGATTCCTTTCAAGATTTTTAAAGATGGGTGAATAAGGCGGGCGAAGTGCCTATAGTGCGACAAATAAGAAGTGAAAATTTTAATCTCAATTAAATCCAAATTTTATTTGATATTTCATCTAATATTGAAGTATATTTTGTGTAAAATCTCTATAATTTATAAAAATTTCAAAAAGACTGAAAATATTTGCCTATGAAAAAGCATACACACACTAAAAAGAAAAGAAAACGATCATTTTCTCATATTTATACATTTTCAATATGGGTGGGTCCTCTCTCCATTTTTTTTGAAAGATGATCCTAAAAGTATGCAATAAAATACACATTTTTTGGTTTACAAAAACATGGAGCGAAGACCCACTATACCTTTAAAGTACACTTTTATGACACAGCATTAGCAACTTTCCGAAAAATAAGTCAAGTCCATTAAGTCGCGGGTCATATCACAAACATGCCTAAAATCACCATGAGTGGTGTAGCATAGTGGTTAACACGTTAGTCTCAAAGCACAATGCTATTGATACGTTGGATTTTTATTGCTAGGGTTCGAATCACACGAATACCATCTTAAAATTTTATGAAAGAAACATTTTTTACGAGATTTTTTTTTTCACAAAAAAGTATTTTTTCCCCTCATAATTACAAAAATTACAATAATTAGAAGCTAATTTAATTACTCAATTCCCATACTGAATAAGATTTTATTTCTTAATATCTGACGCTAAAGGCATTCTGTCCGCCTTGTTCATCTTCTTACTGTCATTTTGAGTTTCGATCATATATAGTCATTTGAAATAAATTTTAAATTCGACTGCATCGATGACTTCATTAGACTGCTGATTCTTTCGACATTTTGTTTTATTTGATTAACGATAAAATTTTGGCAAATCTCTACATTATATGAGGAGAAATGAAATACGGTTTAGTTACATGTAATACCTTCTTTATTATGTTCCCCAAACGGAGTTTGGGAACATATTGTTTTTACTCGGTTTCTTATTATGTTCCCCAAACGAAGTTGGGGAACATATTGTTTTTACTCTGTTTCTTATTATTATTATTATTATTATTATTATTATTATTTTTCTTCTTCCTGGGAAAATTTTGTCCACGAGTGATCTTGTAAACTACACATCCGACTTAGGTGAAACCTTTTTAGGGTCAGTAGGCATGTTATGTAGAGTTGCCAAACAAAGGTCATTTTGCGCGCACGTGCTTGCAAGAGCGCGCACGTGCAACATGTGAAATTACCAATATAATGGATATTGCCGTAACTTTTCTATTTTTTGATGAATTTTTTTGAAACTCATAATGTAAGGATACATTAGTAGTATAGACAAGATAGCATGGTCAAAATAGCAAGATCTCACGCGCACGCACGTGCGCTTTGCTCTGATTGGCTGAAATTAAAGTCTCAATAACTTTCTTGTTTCTTGTCATAATCCTTTGAAATTTTGAACATAGTCCTACATTATGAAGATCTACCACATGATATATAAGAATTTTCATGAAAGCATGCGCATGTGCGCGTGCTGCAAGCTGATTGGCTGAAACTTTAAATGGCAATATCTCCTTTGTTTTTTGACGAAATTCTTTGAAATTTAAAATATAGTCATGCATTAGGATATCCTACAAAATGATATAGAAAAAAAATCAAGAAATCACGCGCATGCACGTGTGCTGCAATCTGATTGGCTGAAACTTTAAATGGCTATTTCTCCTTTGTTTTTTGACGAAATTCTTTGAAATTTAAAATATAGTCATGCATTAGGATATCCTACAAAATGATATAGAAAAAAAATCATGAAATCACGCGCATGCACGTGTGCTGCAATCTGATTGGCTGAAACTTTAAATAACTATTTCTCCTTTGTTTTTTGACGAAATTCTTTGAAATTTAAAATATAGTCATGCATTAGGATATCCTACAAAATGATATTAAAAAAATCATGAAATTATGCGCATGCACGTGTGCTGAAATCTGATTGGCTGAAACTTTAAATGGCTATAACTTCCTTGTTTTTCAACCAAACAGGATGGGATTTAGAACATAGATAAATGAAAGGGACTCCTACACGAAGGTATTATCATCATGCACGTGCACGCACGTGCGTGCATTTGAAACGAGTATATTTAAAAATACTCTTGAATGAGTGATTTTTATTACTTTTGGACTGAATGCTCTAATATATAGTATATTGAAATATATAGATAGTGTAGACAAGATAATATGGTCATAACGCACATGCATTCACATGCGCTTGGGTGCAATGCTAAAATTGAATATAATTGATATCCCTCTGGGAAAACATTGTTAAAGTCAAAAATGCACAGAGTTTGTCTTATTTAATGAAGCTTACAGGGGATATGGCACCGAAAGGGAGTTGGGGAGCGTTTGGGGAACATCTGTAACGGTTCCCGTTACAATTAGCACTAGTTATTATTATTATTATTATTCTTTTTTTTCTTCTTTGTTCTCCGGTACTTTTTTTGTCCGCGAGTGTTCTCAGAAACTGTTAACCCAACTAAGTTAAAACCTTTTTAGGGTTAATAGGTGTCAAGTGTAGGTGTGCACAACGAAGGTCATTTTGCGCGCATACGCATGCACGTGCGTGCGCGTGAAATGAGTGAAATGACTGATATACTTATTATAGCCATAACTTTTACATTTTTTATTGAAATGCTTTGAAACTCATTCTATAAGGATATATTAATAGTCTAGATAATATGACATTGTCAAATTAGCACGAACTCACGTGTATGCACGTGCGCTTCCCTCTGATTGGCTGAAACAAAGATTTCAATATCTCTTTTGTTTTTTGACGAAATGCTTTGAAATTTTAAACATAGTCATGCATTAGGATATACTACAACATAATATATAGCAGGTATCATGAAAACACGCGCATGCACGTGCGCTGCAATCTGATTGGCTTAAACTTTAAATGGGTATAACTCCTTTGATTTTCAACCAAACAGGATGGGATTTAGAACATAGATAGACATAGTGGATTCCTACAAAAAGGTAAGGTCATCATGTACATGCATGCACGTGCATGCACGTGAGGTGGGTAAAATCAAAAATACACTTGATGAAGCGTATTTTTTAATACTTTTGGATTAAATGCTTTATTATTTTATTATATTAATGTATATAGATAGTGTAGACAAGAGAATATGGTCATTACGCACATGCATTTACATGTGCACGCGTGCAAATGCTAAAATTTGAATATACTCGGTATACTTCAGGGAAACGTTGTTACAGTGTAAAATGCATAGAGTTTGTCGTTTTTAATGAAGCTTAAAGGGAGTATGGCACCAAAAGGGAGTTGGGGAGCATTTGGGGAACATCTGTAACGGTTCCTGTTACAATTAGCCCTAGTTTCAATTTATTCAGTATAGGTTGTCAGAATGACAAGAGACTACAGTACCTGAAAGAGACCACCTGCAATAGAAACACCAGCGTTCAGCACATAAGTTTTTAAAAATATATGATTTTTCTTTCTGCATAATTTCTAAAAGTGTATTTTGACCTGGTACAAAATTAACATTCTTAATTGATAACATTTTTTATTGAAAGATATCTTGAAAAAAATACCCGCGTAACTCTTTTATGTAGGAGATAAGAAAATTTATTTCTGGTATGTAATAGTTACCGTATGTTTTTCTATTGGTTTGCTATAGATACCCGATGACATTTTGAAACAGTCACGAGGGGCAACGCCCCGAGTGGGTGTTTCAAAATGTCATCGGGTATCTATAGCGAACCAATAGAAAAACATAACGGTAACTCACTTGTACCATAGCTATAACCTGTATAGTGGATTCTAAAATTAGATCTAGAGTTAGTCTGCTTAATCAAGCGTGCAAAACATCGACTGAGAAATGTAAAGTTAAGATAAACAGTGTCAAAATATTAATGTGATTAAAATTATATCCTTATAATGTGTTGTCAATAAATACACTGCAGCTGCACTGTATTTAAATAAAAAAAATAAAAGTAATAAAAGATTATAGCCATTGATTTTTTTATAAAAGAAATGCTATATGAGTAAATCTAGGGGATTATACTTTTATGCACGCTTGACCAAACAAGATATACCGGTATCTCACGAAGAGACACGTGCTCGAATGGTTTTGCTACTTTGAGAGAAAAACTCTCTATTTTGTATGTGTTCTTTTTAAATAACTATTTCAAAAAAGCCGGTTAATTTCAGAGAGAGAGAGAGAGAGAGAACTTACTTTTGTACTTGTTTTATGTGAATTGGTATCTCATTAAAGATATTTTATTTTGAGAGAACAGATGTTTGTGCAATGGTGCGTGTGTTTATTTTTGTAATTTTGTTTTGAGTTGTATTCGATAAATACAATAAATACAATAAACGATGAATATTCATTTTAAAAATGTTAACTTTACTAGATCGCACAAAGGCGGAGTTAGAAATTAGTGGGATATATATTGATCATAGAAAAGTGTTGGTTTGCTCAAAATACACCATAGTTTCGAACAAAGAAAATGTGGTGTATAGATGTTCAGCTATGGTACAAGTTTCTTTTAATGTTATTGTATTCAGAGATCATTGAGGCCTAAATATACCCTTCACCCAGTCTGTTTAAATACCTTCCATGGTCTGGTACCCATTGATTTCATATTCAGTCAACTTGTTTTTCAACAACAAAATGGCGTTCACGGAGTTACTGTACACACTTCCTTGTGTTATACTTTTTGATCTGTTACAAAGTAAGTCGATTGTGTATATTGTTTTTATAATATTTTCAATTGTATTATATAATTGGCTGTAGTGTTTCTTTTATCTGATAAAAAAAATGATTGGATCGTTAACCGTTGACTTCTATGTAAAAAAGACATTGTGAAATCCATGTCTTAAGGAAAGAAATCTATACAGTACATGAGATTGATTTTTATACGAGAGTTGTACCTGTCAGGTGAAATTATGGAAAAAGCGTTTTCTCAAACATAATCGGCACTCTAAACTGAAATTTTCAGCAAATGTTTGTTTATTTATCATATTTAAGTACATCTTAATATTATGATAAAATATAGACCAAAACGTAAAATTTTTATTATGGTTGAATGTGCAAAGGGTACGATCCTACGGCGCACAATCAAGTACATGTAGTCTGCAATGTTTCCTAATAAAATACTAGAAAAGTATTTCGTAATATATTTATAAGTAGCCAAGATTGGAATACAATTATTTTTAAACTACTATCTATTGTGTCGTTCTTTGGAAAATTTCAAGGCATTTGATAAATTTTTGGCAATTTCCCGAGAATTCGAAATAGGAAAATGGAAAACATAACAAATGAAAAATTGCAACGTTTGATGACACTACGGGGAGCCGGAGAGCAGTTTGATTTAGGTGTAGTTATGACGAAAAGTAAAAGACATTTAATGAAATTATATTACCACCAGATCTTTAGTTTAAAAGTGAAATTGAGTTTTTTCCTGGCGATTTTTTTTATTATCGAGTCCCCAGGTAGAACAAAACATACGGACAAACTGCAATGGTATAGTGAAAGACGCTGTCACTGCAGACCGTCGATATAAGCTTGCCTATTGGGTGAATGCTATTGAGAATTCTGTCCATAACTTACAAGTAAATCTGAAGAAGGTCCCAAGTGTGCGAGATTGGTTTCTCTGCGGTTTTTGAAGGGATACAGGGAAATTAAAGAAACTTTAAAATTTAAGTGGGACTTGTCCTACTTTTCTTCGCAAAAAAGAAGAAACGTGACACTCCTTTGACTTTGATCATCCATGCGTTGTAAGGAGATACAATACTATCATATTAATTTGTTTATTTATGCAAATAGCTATTCGAAATTTGTATATCAATGAAAAATGTAACAAAAAGTATTGAAAAGTTAAGAACGCAATGATTATTATTTCTCAATCTAAAGATCTGTCCATCATTTTACCGGAAAACTATCGTATAGGACCTGGTTAAAAATAAACATTTTACGCAAAAGTAAAATAAAAAATTAATGTTATGTTTACATACATCGTCAGAATAATAAAATGAAATAAAAAAAGATATAATAAAAGAAAAAAAAGCTTCTTTTTTGTGTATCTTGCCAGAAAAGAAGAAAAATTGGGCGTAAACAATCATTTCAAAGTATTTGATTAAACTTGAGGTAACAACTTTTGTTTTTTACATTTGTAGCACCAGCATGTTTGTACTCTTACAACAACTCTGTCTATTTATATTCTGAAATAGGTAGTGAAGGAGCATACAGGTCATATCGTTACTACAGATACAGTTATTATTACTATTATTCCTACGACTATGTCTATTTATCGTGAGTAAAGTTTTGTCATTTATTCGTAAGAAATCCAATGAGTGATTGAATTTTTATCGTTTTAATATTTACCGCAAAATATATCTCAACCATGATAAAAAATAACGTTCAAGACTTTTGAGTGAATCATAATTGCAGTTGTAAAATAACTAGGTGGTACATAATTGAAAAAAAAAATCAATGAAATATTCTTTTGCATTATAAATGTTAAATTATGAATGATTAGTTCTCAGTCTTTTCTACACATTGTTAATATCAGAATCTGTATACAAGTATTAACTTTATATTATATTCATTACGACATGTACATTTATATATACACATTGTAGAGGCGGAGCCATTGCTGGTATCGTCAGTGGTATCATCTTTTTCATCGTCTTTATCGTCATAATGGTGGTTTGCTGCTGTCGTGCAGCACAACAGAGAAGACAAATGCCGGGTGTTGTCTACAGCAATGGAATGAACCAGCAAACGGTGATATCAACAGGTACATGTCTACATATATACATTTAACTTATTGAACTCCACAGAGAACTTTAAAAAACATGATTCTATATCACTAAATTATTTTACTCTGCGATCCACATTCCTAATGATTTAGGTATCTATTGATTTTGTATTCTTGCAAAACTTATTGATCACATTTTACCTTTTCATTGAATGCACTCCAATAGTTCAACTAACATTTAGTTAAATATTATTAAATTAATTGTGAAGCTAACGAACAGAAACTGTACTTAAAACATTACAATTGAGAGCAAATTAAACATGGACCCTTGAAAACATTAATTTAATTTGCTTACACTGTACACAATTATATAGATTAAGTAAATACCACCAGCAATTTTTTTTTACTTTAATACTTTTAACCTATTTAATTAACATTAAATGATTTTTTTATAATGTAAATTACATTATCAATTAAATGTATCTACTTGTCTCACCAGCAAACACTACCCCCGGAATGTACCCCACTCAGCCCTACCCTGTTGGTGGTCAATATAACATGGGAATGCAATACGGGGCACCGGGTCAGCAGTATGGGGCACCAGTTCAGCAGTACGGGGCACCAGGCCAGCAGTACGGAGTCCCTGGTCAACAGATTGTTTACCCTCCTACTGGACAACAATATACAGAACCTGCACCATCATACGAATCCGTCACGGAACAGAAAACTCCGCCTAATCCAACTTAAGAATGCTGCTGCATGTAGCAGAACCCAGACATGGTTCAGAAAAAATATTTTCCCCTGCCAATAATGATGGACAATACAGAATTTAATTTTTTTTTTTTTTAAGTTGTAAATCTTGAGTATTCCCGGTTATTTTTTTAATGTTTAGTTAAAACCATTTTTAACTCAGACAAGATTGAATTACTGCTGATTTTTTCAAATTTTAATTTCGGTTTAGATGTTTTCACAAATATCAGAGAAAAAGGATACAATTTCATTCAAAAAATATATACAAAAACTTCACACGATATGTAAGCGAAAATATTTCAGGAGTACATAGAATATATTTAGTTTTACTTGCTTCAATAATATTAATCAATTGCTATTTATCAAGTATTGAAGGATACTAACAGCATGTACATGTATCATCAGTAAAATACAAAACGTATGCTAATATCAAGCTACGGATTACAATTATATCATGTATGGCGACAATTATTAAGAAAAAAAATATTGATTTGACGTTCTAATATAAACTAATGGTGATATACGTGTATAAATATATAAATCAGAAACTTTTATATTATATTGAAATTGCTGTTAATGTTTTTTTCAATGGTAGAACTCTTCTTTGGCTTATCATAAAAATCACTTTTAACATACCTGAAAGTCCTACGTATTATTGTTTTTACCGGCCGCCAGGAGGCGGTCGGTTATATGATATGAAAGTTTGAAGTCTCTGTGCGTTTCTGCGGAGTTAAAACAATTTAAATAAAAATATTTAACATTAATATAATAGTATATTAAAAAGAGCGCCTAAATGTTTAACAAGAACGCACAATAAACACAAGATTAATTTTTTAAATAAAAAATGAAGTAAATTTTCATCCAATCCTGATTGAGAAACTTAGACATGTTTGATGTGCGGAGAAAATTAGGACGTGTTGGCATAGTCTAAAGGAAAGACCGCGTTATGTATATTGCACAATTTTACTTTCTCCATTTAAACAGGATTTGTTGTACGTATTTATTTTAAAACGACGTGTACACATGTACATATATAAAAATTTTCAAAAATATGGTTAAATGTTAATTCATCAAAACACCTAAAAGGCTATAGAATATTACAAAATTTTGCCCTTAGCAGACGAGGATAGTGCACGTTTTACAATGTGCCAAGAATTTTCCCGCTTCAACTCAAAGAAACCGAAAGAGAAGAAATGTAGTGGCGGATCTACAGGGAGTTTAGTTTTTTTCCTCTAAGAGAGAGCAAGGAGCCCCACATATTTGTTGCGTTTTTATTAGATTAAAACTACACTGCATATCTAGTTGTAGATTACATTAAACTTTAGCTTTAAACTTTTAATGTAAATGCCTCTTAATTATACAGGCCCACGGTTTGTTGACGCAGAGGACCAGGGGTACTTTGCTTATATATATACATGTAATACTGAACATGCATTATATAATTAAGAAAATCATGCAATGTCGTGCACAAGCGTTTAATGTCACGATCGAGGATATATATCAACAGATAAATATCAGATATTTTAAAACAGATCACCATTTCAGTCTTTAGTTGCTTCATAAAAGGAACAATTAATTGGTTTGCGGCCGATTTTTGACGCTTGCGTCAATATATGTTTCTTGTCTCTATTGAAATGAATATAACGTTTACTAGCTATTATCACAAACAAATTTTCCTACCTTTCGCATAAAAGAGTTACACTACAACTTTCCAGAATTTGTAATTTAAAAAACCGGAAATTGTAAATATGTAAACATACACGGTAATTGTTCCGGGAAAATTACAAGCGAATATAAGCGTTTAAGAAAGGAGTTTGAAGGGGAAAAAAGAAGCAGCAAGTTATCAATATATCAATATATTCAACTATGAAAGTTGAGAAAATAATTATTTTTGTTCGGACAGTGTTCATGCAGGCTTTAGAGGATACAACTCTTTCCTGACCTGGCTCAATAGTTTTTTTTTCTCTCGTTTTATTATTGTCGAAAGGGTACACGATTCCTTGTTTCTTCAAAAATAATACTACTGTCAAGACTCCGTAAAAATATCAACAATATATATTTCTGGATTTTTTGTAAACTTATTACACAAGTTTTATCCTTTTTTAAAAATTGATTATATTATTTGAATGCCAATAAGAAAAAAGTTGTTTGCCTACAATAAAATCTTTGACACAGGAGAATGATCTGTATAACTTTATAACTACAAATTTATTTCTTCATTAAGATGGTAGTAATAAATTTAAAGCATACATCTTCCAACTCTCCGGAATCTTGATGCATTTTTAGCTCAGCTAAGCCGAAGGCTGAAGTGAGCCTTTCTGATCACATTTGGTCCGGCGTTCGTCTGTCTGAAAACTTATTACATTTTTAACTTCTTCTCAAGAGCCACCGGGGCAATTTTAACTAAACTTGTCACTAAGTATGTTTGGGTAATGGGAATTTAAGTTTGTTATGGCCCCATGGTCAGGGGTTCTGGAGTTAGGGCGGGGCTCTATCGATTTTATAGTGAAAATACATTATAAATCTTCTCTACTCCTGGGTATTAAGCAGATGAACTACCTATAAAACTATGATGAGCAGGGGCTTTTCTTCCAGAATTGTGAATTTCAAGGCCCATGGGTCAGGGGTACCATAGAGAGGGTTCTAGTTATATACTGAAAACGAATTGTTGGAAATCTGCTTCTTGGTATTAGTCAAACTTTTTTATTAGCAAGGGTGCCTTTTCCAAATTTGTGAAATGTATGGACCTAGGGTCAGCAGTTAATGTGTGGTAGGGGCACTATTGATTATTGCTGAATATTACTGATTAGCTGAAATGCATTTTTAGCTCACCTCAACGAAGTTGGGGGAGCTTATGTAATACCCTCGGCGTCGGTGTCGGCGTCCCAGGTTAAGGTTAAGTTTTCTGGAGCAGTTTTCTTTTTAAGTACTTCTGTGTCCTATATTGATTAGACATGCATGGAAGATGCTTCTAATGTGTTTCATTGTACCAGTCAAAGTTTCAGATGCTGCAATTTCAGCAAAGGAATGACCAGGTTAAAGTTTTTGAAGCAGGTTAACATTTTTGGTGCAGTTTTTGGTGTAGGTCTCATTTCCAAGTAACTATAAACCCTATGGTGACCAAACTTGCACGGATGGTACATCTAAGGATGCACATTACCAGGCTTGCTTCGGATGCTGAATCTGAACTACATTTTCCAGTTGAGTGAACAGGTTAATGTTTTTGGTGCAGGTCTCGTTTTCAAGTAACTATAAGCCCTATCTTGACCAAACTTGCATGGATGATACATCTAAGGATGTACACTACCAGCCTTGCTTCGGATGCTGAATCTGACCTACATTTTACGGTTGAGTGAACAGGTTAAAGTTTTTGGTGCAGGTCTCATTTCCAAGTAACCTAAAGCCCTATGTTGACCAAACTTGCATGAATGATACATCTAAGGATGCACATTACTAGGCTTGCTTCGGATACTGAATCTGACCTACATTTTCCGGTTGAGTGAACAGGTTAAAGCTTTTGGTGCAGGGTTCATTTCCAAGGTACAATGAGCCCTATAATGACCAAACTTGCATGGATGGTACAAATAGGATGCACACTAGTCTACCAGACTTGCTTCGGATGCTGAATCTGACCTACATTTTCTGAATGAGTGAACAGGTTAAAGTTTTTCGGGCGGGTTTCATTTCCAAGTTACAATGAGCCCTATAACAACTAAACTTGCATGGATGATACATCTTAGAATGCATGCTACCAGACTTGCTTCGGATGCTGAATCTGACCTACATTTTCTGGATGAGTGAACAGGTTAAAGTTTTTGATGCAGGATTCATTTCCAAGTAACTTTAAGCTCTTTATTGACCAAACTTGCATGGATGAGACATCTAAGGTTGCATTCTACAAGGCTGGCTTCGGATGCTGAATCTGACCTACATTTTTTTCTGGATGAGTGAAAAGGTTAAATTTTTATGCAGGTTTCATTTATAAGTAACTATTAGCCATATGTTGTGCAAACTCGCTTGGATGATACATCTTAGTATGCATACTAATGGACTTGCTCTGGATGCTGAATTCGACATACATTTCTAGATAATGGAACAGGTAAAAGTTATGGGTGCATGTCTATCACCAAGAAGCTATAAGGCTTAAATAAACCAAACTTGCCCAAATGATGCATCAAGGGATGAAAACTCTTAGACTAGCTTGCTTCAGATGCTGGATTTTGATCACATTTTCGTGATGAAGAACTAGTTTGAAGTTTTTATATAGGTCTCCATGTATTCCAAAGTTTTAGATCAAAATTGCATAAATTTTGCATTTTTGGATGTACACTTTTTGTTGGGTAATTTTGTAACTTTGCCTTACTTAAAGACAACATTCGTTGAGGTGAGCTTTGTAATCTCTGATTACCTATGTTTTTTGTTCCGCAACGCTGGGTATTAAGTAACCAAACTAAGCAATTGCTCAGTGTATACATGTAGTTATGATGAGCTATGGCGCCTCCTTAAAAATTGTGAATGTCATGGCGTCTAGTTTAAAACATTCATGAACAAAATTCAGTCAGTGGAAAATTGTTGCATGATGCGCAGGTGGCATATAAGGCCAATATGGGCCTCTTGTTTAAATTTGGAAAATGAAACAAGACTGGGTTAGTCAATTGAAAGGTTGAGGCATCTGGGAATATTGTCTATAAGACAGATATTGGTTGCTGTAAATTTACATATTTCACTGAATATTTCTTGGGAGTCTTAACATGTTTTACAGCAGCTTTAATGAAGCGTTTAATTTCGCTCTAGTTGATTGATTCTTTACCATTAATTTTTAATGTTGTGTCTCGAATAGCCATTTTTTCTCACAAGGAAAATGTGATAAAAAGTGATCACACAAACTCATATCAAATCATTAAAGGTTCATTCATGATAGAAAGTCAAGCTTGATGTCATATGATTTGTATGTTGTATGCCACAGAGTTTAAGACATAATTTTTTGAATTCGCGGTCGCGGCTGAAATTCGAACTCACCACCTCCCGATCGCGGAGCGAGCGCTTTACCGATTAAGCTACATGTACCGTGAACTGTCCACCATAAATCATATGGCGCCCACAAGTAACATTTCTTTTGAAAATATCCATTTAAAATTTTTGGAGAAAGTTTTTCAAATGACAAATTGTATCAAATCTTGTATTACCATTAAGCCTTATATCCCCTCCGTAACTGGTAGAAGACGTGCATTAACCCAACTGAACACATTGTCGAGACACTTCCCGCTTCAAGTTTCATATTAAAATTGTACTTCTGTAAAGATATTTCCTCAATATTACTCAGACCATGGCTTCTTTACGTTGGTTAATATGTTTGTTTTGCATTGCATTTGTAAAAGGTAAGAAAGTTTAAGATTTTCAGAAATCTAAGATTGTTGTATATTTGTTATCTATACTGTCATTAGTAAACAAATAATAGCGACTATGAACAAAAGATGCCGAAAAGAAAAGAAAAAGCGAGACTCAAGTCTACTTATTTGATGAAAAAAAAATGTGTGCTACCCCCGAAAAGTTTAATTCTAAAATAACAAGTACATTGGAAGAGAGAGATAGAGAGAATGCAAGTCATTGATGATTGATAGTATATTGTTTAACGTCCCTCTCGAGAAGTGTTCACTCATAAGGAGACGCCACCTCTTGCCGATGGAGAGCTACAAATTTTGTCCTATACTAGGCACTCAGGGCTATTGGGCAGTGAGGGATCTTTTTCCTGCCAGTACCTACTGCGACACGGACCCTCGGTTTTTGCGGTCTCATCCGAAGGGCCGGTCTCCACGTCCCACAGTGGGTTTCGAACCCGTGACGTAAGGAATGACTCCTTATTTCGCGACCCTAGAGCAGACGATCAAATCACTGTGCCACGCGAACGACTACAAGTTATTGAAAGGGCATGAAGTCGGAATAAAGGGTATATGTATTTACATGGTGAAGAAAAATTAGTCACTGATTGGCTAACAAATCGGTGGTTCAAGTTATAAATTTTTAACATTTGAGATCAGTATAAATAAAGCCCAATAAGTTTTAATATGCAATCGTGTATCATTGTGCATGTTGATTTTTGGGTATGATACCGTTATTTTAATTATGTTCCCCAAACGAAGTTGGGGAACATATTGTTTTTACTCTGTTTCTTATTATTATTATTATTTTTCTTCTTCTTCTTCTTCCTGGAACTTTTTTGTCCGGGAATGATCTTGTAAACTGTTCGTCCGATGTAGGTAAAACCTTTTTAGGGTTAGTAGACATGTTATGTAGATTTGCGGAATCAAGGTCATTTTGCGCGCACGTGCTTGCAAGAGCGTGCACGTGCAACATGTGAAATGACCAATATAATAGATATAGGCACAACTTTTCTTTTTTTATATGAAATGCTTTGAAACTCATAATGTGAGGATGTATTAGTAGTATAGACATGACGGCATGGTGAAAATAGCAAGATCTCACGCGCATGCACGTGCACTTCGCTCTGATTGGCTGCAACGAAAGTCTCAATATCTTTCTTGTTTTTTGACGAAATCCTTTGAAATTTTGAACATAGCCATGCATAAGGATATTCTACAACTTGAAATAAAGCAATTATCATGAAAACACGTGCATGCACGTGCGCTGCAATCTGATTGGCTGAAACTTTAAACAGCTATAACTCCCTTAGTTTTCACCCAAACAGAGTGGAATTTAGAACATAGATAGATGTAATGAACTTCTACAAGAAGGTATGGTCACCATGCTCATGTATGCACGTGCGTGCACGTGAAATGAGTAAAATCAAACATACAATTGAAATGAATGAGCGTATTTTTTAAATAATTTTGGATTAAATACTTTAATATTCAGTGTATTAAAAATATAGATTGTGTAGACAAGATGATATGGTCATGACGCAAATGCATTCACGTGCACGCGTGCAAAGCTAAAGTTTAAATGATTTTTGTACACTTCTTTGTAAATGTTGTTCAAATCTCAGATGCATAGAGTTTGTCTTATTTAATGAAGCTTACAGGGAATATGGCACCAAAAGGGAGTTGGGGAGCGTTTGGGGAACATCTGTAACGGTCCCCGTTACAATTAGCACTAGTTTCCTATATTGTTATCGCAATAACTTTAGAACAAGGAAAGATATTTAAATCTGTATGCAGTTGTTCTTCTTATTACGCATTTGGTAACCTGTAATGTCCCATTAATACATATAATTATCAAAATGTGTCCGGATATTTGTCATTAATATACGTAGAAGTTAAAAAAAAACGAAGTTTAAACAAATATTCCGATGTTTCAAGGAACTTTTTAAAAAATCTTTACATCAGACCCACAATGAAATGAAATTCATATTATTTATAAGGAAGTCACAATGTGAAAATCTATGGAAATTTTTTTTCCTTTAATATTTATAAAATAAAAGTTTATATGGTCTTCTTACTTCATAAATTTAAAGGACGTTATGGATTTAACTTCCTTTATCAATCTTGTATTTTTTTTTCTTTTTCTAATCACATACTTTTTATTGTAGTATAAAATGTTACAATGATTTGCAAAGATAAAAAAAAAGTCCGTTTTTTTTTTTTTTTTTTTTTTTTTTTTTTACATATGGCTTTATGCTTGTGATATAAACAAGCAAATATTGTAACGTGTAACCTAAGGGTCCGTTTTCAAGGGATACGGGGTATTAATATTATCGAAATATATATATACTTTTCCTCTGGCTCTATCTGAGCCTATAATTAATACTGGGGATTAAAATTATTTACAATAATGATTATTTATTATTTTTGTGGGATACTTGTCCTTGTTCTATACTTTTTTTTAACAGCGGGATGTACAAGCCGAGGTTCTTTGTTACCAAGTACTACCTGTATGACTGGGTCCCTGCAGCTGGTTCCGAAACCAAGTTCTTATTGTAATGAGTACTCGGTACCTCACCCTTATTCAGAATTACTATACCTTGCACTTCACCACAATTTCTTGGCTTACAATTTACCGGCGCCCTGTACCCTAGCCTTAATTTTATTTCACTGTTTTAATTCTTCTGTTCTAATATTACCAATTATCTCCTTTTCAACTTGACACTGCTTCTGCGGGTTTCCGAACGCCCGAAACTGCCTCTGCAGCCTTATATATAGCAAAGGGCTATACCATTCAAACGGGGGTGAACAGGCTCCTGAACTGTTCCATTAGTTCAGGTCACACCAATCGATTCTCTCCACACATTCACCATCCTTTTGGTATTTTATCATAACTCTGACTGTCCTCTGGTGACGACTTGTGTCCGTCTGAGTGCTGACATCCAACCTAGTAACATATTCTTTACAGCAGGGCAGTGATGTAAAACCACGGGCGCCTCATGATCCTTAACATCATCTACCAGGCTTGAACCTTTGTCTTCAGATTGGTCAGTCACCTTGTCTACAAGTTCGTCTGCCTTGCGCTTGACTCCAGGGAAACTGGGCGAAGTTTTCTTCCTGATGGTTCTACCAACACGTGCAGCTTCAAGGCCTGTTTCATAAATAAGATCACCTGGATCTTCTTGCCAGTCAGAATCATCAACATGATTATCTACAACTACTGACTTGGAGTTCAATGGAACATTTCTTTCTCCATCTTGTAAACCAGTAGTTGAGTTTAACCTCTTCTGGTGTCTCCTTAGAAGGGAATACTTGGCAAATGCTTTGTCACACTGGTTACACTTTAATCTCCGTTCATTTATCTCATCAGGTGCAAGTAATTGTTCAGTATATATCTTTTCATTCCTACGTGGAATCAATGTTTTCTCATTCACATTGACTCTGAAACACCCTAGGTGGCCCTTTAGTTTGAGTTTAAGCTCAGCTCCTCCAACACACATTTTGCTTGAGGAAACATCCACCAAACATCTAATATATTTCAGAAAACCTAAACCTAAGATACCGTCGGTTTCGATATTTGCTACAACTGCAACAAAAGTAAACTTTTGATTTCCCAATATAAAGTCCAATGTGCACTTACCCTGCACATGCAATGGCCTTCCATCGGCTAATACTATCTTTTGAGTTATGGCATGGGCTTCAGTTCGACAGTGTCAGTACTAAGCATGTTCTCAAATACTTTACTTGACAAAATTGTCATTGTAGCACCTGCATCTACTAACAACGTACAAGGCACCTTATTAACACTAGCCTTTACAAATAACCCAGACTGAACATCAACTCTTGTTAGAGTGACTGAACTCGTATTCGACTTCCTACTCTTTGGCTTAGCCTCAGTTACCTCTTTTTGTTCTACTGCCTTCTTTTGGGATGCCGTGCATGCATTGATCTTTGAAGAACCGACCTCTGTCCTATTGACAAAACAATCCTTAGCTCTGTGGCCTCGTCTTCCACAGTTATGGCACTTAAAAGGGAACCTTGTTTGGTCAGAACTTTATATTGAACTCGATTCATCAGCTCTTAGTTGTCTACTGGTCTCTTTGCGTTCTGACAAAGTGGCTATTTTGTTCTCGAGGTCTCGCAGTGACGGCCGAAGTTCATCTCGTAGTTGTTTCAAATCTTCGCGTACTACTTTTCTATAAGCTTCTCGTTGCCCTTCTATTTCACTAATGTGCTGTTCTTGCAAAACTAACATCGTGTCTTCTCTGGCGTTCAGCTCTACAAAAAGCTTCGATCTCCACGGCCAGCCGAACTGCGTCATTTAAAGATTTGAGCCGTGACTGCTGTATTCTAAGACGCATATCAAAGTCCGTTAAGGCGTCGATGAACTGGTCTTTAGCAATCATCTCTGTAACCTCACGTGGTGCCGTCGGGTACGCTAAATGTACTAGTCTTCGTATACTTTCCCCTAATTCTGGCAGTGTCTCATTTGGCCTCTGATGTTTTTCCTTTAACATGGCTCGATATAGTTCCGTCTGATTAGTCGGTGCAAATCTAGCCTCTAACGCTTCACACAAATCTCTATATGCACAAGCATTATCTGTCTTCATATTTCCAAGAACTGTTTGTACTTGGCCTCTTAATGATGTTGCCAGGTACAAGCCTTTGGTCTATCATTCCACAGGTTGATGCTACTGCATGCCTCGAAATGAGCTTTGTAATCAATCCAGGACCCGGTACCATCAAATATCGCAGGTTTCATCACAGTTTTACCCTATGTGTTAGTGCTAGGATAATAACCACTGTTTTCATTCACTGGTAACGCTGCACTTAATGGTGTACTTGGTACAATCGGCATAGGTTCTGTCCTTTGCAAGACTCCATGTAACACATGTGGATGTTGACATTGAGCTTACACCTAACGTACACCAGTGTACATGCGGCGTTGAAATTCGAGGTGTATCTGCTGATTTACCCAGTGACACTCCTGAGTACGCCGACTTTGGTGTGGTATAAACATCGCCTCTTCCCCAAATATCTTTGTTTCCAGGAACATGAAAATCATAAGCTTGGGTCTTGTATTCCTCGTATCCACCATAGCTCCTTTAACATTACTTGCTCTTGTGTTGGGTTTATGTCAACTTTACCCATTAACTCATCTATACTGTCGTCAGCAGTCTTTTGCCTCAAGTCTACACCAGAATCAGTAACTAGAGAGGGTCTACTAACATTAAATGAGCTTGGCGTAGACTTTAACTTTTCTAACGTTTCTCTTAATTGTCGTCGTCTAACGTCAATTTCTTCAAGATCTGCCCACAGTTCTGATTCTTGTTCATTCTTCATGTTTAATTTCTATATACCAAGTAACCAACCAAAAATACTCGGTACTCAACTATATTAAATCTTACTGTGGTGCACGTACCTAACACAGTGCACACAGAACTCTGTACCTGGTATCTGAACCAAGTAACTGATCTGCTTTCACGAAAACCCGGTGACAGAACACAGTTCACCCCGTTAGATAAACTTACTTCAACAGATTCTAACAATTAAATGTACCCTATATTCCTTTACCAGCTGCCACCAAAATGTAACGTGTAACCTAAGGGTCCGTTTTCAAGGGATACGGGGTATCAATATTATCGAAATATATATATATATATATACTTTTCCTCTGGCTCTATCTGAGCCTATAATTAATACTGGGGATTAAAATTATTTACAATAATGATTATTTATTATTTTTGTGGGATACTTGTCCTTGTTCTTTACTTTTTTTTAAACAGCGGGATCTACAAGCCGAGGTTCTTTGTTACCAAGTACTACCTGTATGACTGGGCTCCCTGCACCTGGTTCCGAAACCAAGTTCTTATTGTAATGAGTACTCGGTACCTCACCCTTATTCAGAATTACTATACCTTGCACTTCACCACAATTTCTTGGCTTACCATTTACCGGCGCCCTGTACCCTAGCTTTAATTTTATTTCACTGTTTTAATTCTTCTGTTCTAATATTACCTATTATCTTCTTTTCAACTTGACACTTCTGCGGGTTTCCGAACGCCCGAAACTAACTCTGCAGCCTTATATATAGCAAAGGGCTATACCATTCAAACGGGGGTGAACAGGCTCCTGGACTGTTCCATTAGTCCAGGTCACACCAACGTTTGAATGGTATAGGCCAATTGCCTTATTCATTACTCATTACAATATTATCAACTTGCCATTGTTCATAAATATTATTCTTACAAGCTGTAAGTTATTAATACAAGATTTGTAGTTTGCTGGTTTGAAAAGAAAAACAAGATGTGACTGTGAAAGACTGACGCCCAAGCGCCCCCCCCCCACCCTTCATGGCAGAAAAAAGTGAGGGTTAAAGTTGCATTCAAAAGTCATGACCAAGGTTAAATAGGACAAAAACTATATTCCCTAGATCACAGGGCATACAAAATAGAATAGGACGACTAGAGAGCTACAGTGCAAACAAAAAAGTCAATTTTTTGCAAACAAAATATATGCTGTTTCCATTTCTCCGATTTTTCAAAATACCGAACTATAATATTAGTAAACATAGTTGTTAGTATTATTTTCACAGTAATTCACAAATTATTATTACTGTTAATAGAGTGGCTTTCCTAGGATTGATATCGAAATCTCTAATTTTGCTGACTTTGTTATAAATTATTCCGTAAAACGTGCTATGGGAAAATGTCAACTAAATGTACGAGAGAAGTCAATAGAGATTTTAAGAATATTTTGAAATTGTGCATTCGAGGCGAGAATAACATGCAGGAGTAAATACATTAGAATACAGTTTTTTAGTATGGGTGGCACCGGTCTGCATCTACGAAATGCTATAAAATAATCACATCTGTATGTCTCTTTATAGAATGTGATGCACTGAGGATTCGTTATTCATATTATCGCTCCTACTACTATTACTCCAACTATTATACTTACTACTACTACGGGTAAGAGTTACACATACTTGTACTGTTCTTTGAATACTGTACATTTGAATGGATGCCCAAATGTGCCAAAGATATGAAAATATATTAAAGGAAAATATATGTGTTTCGAAAAGTAGCAAAGGTAAAACAAATTAATTTCATCCCTTTTTGAATGAAATCTTTAAGAAAAGAAAAAAATATACAAAAAAATTATAATTCATTATAGATGTATACGAAAAATGGCATAAATATAAGCTTGTTTAACGCTAGTGAGCAGAGCATTGTTCAACTCTGCTGTATATTATGATTATTCATCACAGTGTAGCTAGCTGCATTAAAATAATCCTTTCAGCGTTCTGAATATCTGTTCCTGTTGCAGCTCTACTACAAGTGTTGGATTATATGTTGGAATTGTCTTGGGGATCGTAGCCTTTCTTACTCTTGTCTTTTTTGTGATCTGCTGCGTCTGCTGTCGAAGAAGACAGAACACTACCGGTATGGTACTCACTAACCCATCAACGCAGCAGACAGTGATAACATGTGAGTGACATTGTTTACTTATTACTAGCTGAGCTGTATTCATCTGTTTACATGCGGAATTCAAAGTTTGTTTCGAATTCCTTTTCGAAAATTTTCACTTACATGTATACTGAGACGCCACCATAAACCGGTCGAGTGAAGGATCTTTTTCACACAGGCACCTACTGCGACCTCGGTTAAAACGGTCTCATCCGAAGGATCGGTCTCCACGTCTCAAGGTAGGATTCGAACCCGCGACGTAGTTAGGAATAATTCCTTTCTCTACTCTGGGACCAACGCTTTATACCTATTGGCACGAAGAAAATCTACATGCAAGTAACTATCAAAGTAAATATTTGAATACACATGTAGTATCGAGATTAGCCAAAAAAAAAATTCATGCATCTACCCAATTTTTTTACCGTACGGTTACCTGAGGAGAGGGAGTGGTCAAAGTAACAGTAGTGTTACTTACCTGGAGACCCCTAATACCCTAGATGTAAAAAATCTGTGTATACGTAGCATTACACAGGAAGTCTGTGTTTGGTAATCAGGGTCAACATTACGTGTTTTGTGTCTGGTTTTGAGTGAAACTACGTAAAATAATTATTTTAATATGGAATTTATTTGTAAACTAAACGCATTCATCGTAATCATGGTAATGTTTTGAAGGGGGAAAAAATAGTAAGATACATGTGTATCGTTCTAGAAAATATCTTCCATACATAAAAGAAAAATTCACGAGTAAAAACTACAAATCAATAATATTTATCTTTTTTAATCTTCAATGAAATAAATCACTTGATTAAAACAGTCTGACTATTGAAATAAAAAATTATTGATCCACCTATTCGTCGTGCATGTGAACATGCATTTACCGCGATCGGAATGGTTTTTTTTTATATATATATATATATAATATATATATATATATATATACAGACGCTAGCTAGAGGAAATTCGAGCATTAATTCTGGCATTAATTTCTGTACAACACCGTGCAGATTGTAGCCATGGTACAAAATAAAACATCTTTTAAAAACTATGCTATGCCGTTTATTAGTGCTGAATATTTTTTCTTATATCCCATTTCTTAAAAAATAATTTAATTCGTCGGACTTCTAATTACGGCAAATAGAGACGGTTTCTGTGGACGCGGTCTTTTTTTTTTCTACAGATAAACGTGGACGATATAACACTTACAAGTAACAAACAGCAGTGAAAATAGAAAAGAAATATTTTATTATGTCAGTGTTTTAATAATCTACTTTCAATTATTTTTTTGAAATATAATTCAAACATATTGGAGTTTTCTAATCCGCGTGTATACTATGCGGGTACATGAAAGCGTTTGACGCGAGACCAGGTAATAGTTTTCAAAACATGCAAACTCAGATTATCAGGAAGCACAGGTAGCTGACCTGTCAATCAAATCAGAAGCTATTGTTTTTTAATGATTGACAGGTGGTAAATTATTGATCTTGAATCAGGTAGATTTTGGGGGCGTTAACATAAAATTGGGTGTTTAAAGTAGGCATCACAACACAGCGTCTCATACATCCTGCCAAAGAAATTGCGCATAATTCATTAATGAGTCTAACTTGGAGTTCTAAATCTCAATGATGAGATTCTGACCAATTTCGGTGACAACGTCCTGTTCCGAATAATTCCAATAATTCAGTGTTTTGAATGTATTTCATGTAATTACTTGTTTGAATCACTAAATCATGTATTAATACTTTTATTTCAATATGTATAGTATTTACTTATAAATAACGATCGAAAAATTATTTAAAGACACGAAATGAACTCTCTTATTAACATCATGATATGGTTTCTTATTGGGTTTATAAACAGTCTTTCTTGATAAGAAATTTATGTATTTAGATTTTTTTCCTTGAGACTCATCTCATGTGGGCCTTCGAATGAGACTATATTAACCGAGGTCCTATGTCGCAGTAGGTGCTGGCATGAAAGGATCCCTTGCTGCTCCATCATGGTCCTGATTGCCAAGCAAAATTCTCGAGGACACAACAAAGAAATCCATTGATATGCTTAGTTAAATATTTATGAAAGAAGTTAGGAGAATAAATTAGTTTAATATACAAGACAAAAACCTTTTTTTTAATGAAACACTGCTCCCGAGAAGGCTTTGATCTTTTCAGTCAAATTTGGATTACAACTCGTTTGTTTTATTTTACAGCAAATCTTTCTGCTGGAGATCAATGTCCCCCAACTTCAAATCAAAACAACATTGCCCAGTACAATACAGCATTTCAGTATGGAATGGGAGCCCCTGGTCAAAGTTTTGACAATTCGTCTGCTCCAAGGAACGGTGAACCCGCACCATCTTACGAATCTGTGGTAGGTCAAGATGGACCTATTCCATCTTCCTACACCATGCAAGAAAGCTTTCCGGACACATGTTCTGTACCATACAAAACATGAAGCTGTGAAACAAGTATAAAACTTTTAATTTTGTTCAGCGAATCTATGTCACATTTTCTTATATTTCATTATAATTCTGAAATTTCATTTTTTATAATTAGCTTTCAATATTTCTGACTAAAGTAAAACACAATGGATAATTCAGCAAGTACCTTGAATTTGTTTAACTTGAGTACTGACAAGTTCATATTGCCGATATACAGCATATTGTGTGCATTTGAGAGTTAAATATTATTGTACAATGTATATGGTTTTAAGCACTGGTTTAAGCACTGATTGTAATGTTAAGTCATAATAAAAAGTTGCAGTGACTTTTAAGAATACATGTACTCCAAACAATTCTTTTCGTGAAGTTAAAATACTATAAATTATAGCGGGATTAATACGTGCATGTAATATGAAGTTCTATACTGTAGTTGTTGGAAATAAAGAATAAAATGTCGTTCTACTTACGAAACGAAGGAATTGTTGGATATAACCCGCTTGAACAAAATATATAATTACTTTGAGTCATTTTTTATACCCCGCTCCGAAGGAGAAGGGGGGGGGGTATACTGTTTTATCCTTGTTTTACCCTTGTGTGTCTGTCCGTCTTTCTGTCTGTCTGTTCGTCCGTAACAAATTTTCGTCGAAGTTTTCTCAGCAACTACTCATCGCAGATGCTTGACATTTTGACACAATCTTCTCTGAGGAATGTCATCTGGTGGGGTTTATTTTTGTTGAAATTTGATGTCAACTTCCCTTCTCTTTGTATATTTGTATTTAACTGTTTTTATTTTTAAATTCAAAGTCCGTCGGATGGGACGTTAAATGGTGCCCCGTGTCAAGGATAACAACCCCCTTGGCACGCAAAAGATCGTTTCTCTGGAGTTCGAAAAAGAGTAGGCTCACTGGGGGCCGCCAGAGAAACCGAAAACTTTCAAAACCGTTCATACAGTATTTAAATTTCTCCGCCGAAATATGGCTGAAATATTGCCGACTCGGCGTAAAAAAACAATAATCAATCAATCATCCCTTCTCTAAGGCATGCCATATGGTGGGATTCATTTCTGTTCAAATTTGATGTCAGCTTCCTGTTCGTCCGTGCATCTGTCCGTTTCATACATAACAAATTTTCGTCAGTTTTCTCAGCAACTACTCATTGCAGATGCTTGAAATGTTAATACAATCTTCTCTGAGGCATGCCATATGGTGGGATTGATTTTTGTTCAAATCTAATGACAACTTCCTGTTTGTCTGTGCGTCTGTCCGTTTCATACATGTTTCACACACAACAAATTTTTGTCACAGTTTTCGAAGCAAATACTCATCGCAGATGCTTGAAATTTTAACACAATCTTCCCTGAGGCATACCATATGGTGGGATTTATTCTTGTTTAAATCCGATGTCAACTTTCTGTTTGTCTGTGCGTTTGTTTATTTCATACATGTTTCATACATAAAAAAAATTTGTTAAAGTTTTCTCAACAACTACTCATCGCAGATGCTTGACATTTTAGCAACACTTTTTCCTGAGGCATGCTATGTGATGGGATTAATTTTTGTTCAGATCCGATGTCAGCTTCCTGTTTGTCAGTGCATCTGTCTGTTTCATAAATTAACAAATTTTCGTCGCAGTTTTCTAAGCAACTCTTCTCATAACACATGCTTGAAAATACTCTTGTCAATACTTTGTTGAGGCATGCAGTATGGTGGGATTTATTTTTATTTGAATCTGATATCAAAATCCAATTTTCTGTGCATATACCCATAACGTTTATTAACATGATAGTGTATATTCACATCAGAGCGGGGGTATTACCAGTGAGAATTGGCTCACAGATTTCTTGTTTTCTCAGTTTTAATTTTTATTTGATATTGTGACACTTTACAATAAATGTTATTCTTTGCCTGTGTTGATATTTCTTTATACGCAAAGGCATGGATTATATACCGATATGCAATTTAAAAGCTGACCATTCTTATATTTATTTGCTTTATCTTGATCTTATTATTATTGCAGACGACAGATGTTTTCCTTGGAGCCATCTTATTTAAATACTTTTGACTCCTGTGTCTTTAGTGTTTACTAGATATATGTGTCACAAAACATTAAATAACTATAATTTAATTAATTATAATTAAATTTTCCTTTCTGTGCCCGGCATTTCTCGGTTGATTCCGCTACGCTCCAATCAAACCTCGGTTGTATTTAGTGGAGGAATATGCACCAAATCCGATCGATTCTCCGTCAGGAACTGCTTTGTTTACTCATTTCATATTTCGCTCTGTATAAAAATCTCTTTAACTTGACAATGTATTGCTCTTCATTTTGTATTGGTTTTAATCACAATTTTTTTTGTTTGTCGTCTTAACAAGCAACCAGAGGTCTTTATCGAGACTGTAGCTTTTTAGAGACTGACCGCGTTTTAGAAACACCCGATTCATTGCAGTTCGGAGGACAGGGCTGCTCTATACATACAAATTTAAGTTGAAGTGTACGGGGATCGGGGATCGAGGAAAGAAAAGTTATTCAGATTTAAAGTTAATATACTTCAAAAAGATTATACATCAGAATGTTCTTTCCCTTTACAAACCAAGATACATATATTTTTATATTTACTTCCATGAAGTACATCTTTGAAAATATATACACTGTATGTTTTTCATTTTAATATACAAAGTTGCTGATCATTTACTACCGACATGTCCCATTTTTCGATCATTGGTAAAGGACCAGCCCCTTGTTCTAAATTGACATTTTTTATATGTTGCACTATTGGACCAGCCAGGGGATAACGCCATCAACATAGGAAGAGGAAAGTTTTCTTTTCTCCTGACCGTCGATAAGAGAAACGAAGTCAGAGAGGAGGTGAGAGAAAGGTAAAAGTGGACTTTTAACTTTCCCAGATTTAAGTCATCCACAATACTGATTTTATGACAATGCACATCAATTCCTGTCAGTTTCCCGAAATTTACGATTCTTTCAGCTTGTTTTCAGTTTCCTTTCGTAAGTATCTTTTATTTCTTTATGTTGATTATGCTATGTTTCCCCTTTTCAGTGTAATTGCGTGTAGTTACGCTTAAAGAGACGTAAAGATCATTACAAAAATGGGTTGAATTACAATCTCAGACAAGGATTGATTGTATATAGGATCTCTCATGATTTGTAGTTGGATATGCTTTTTATCCAACAAATTGGCGAGTTGGATAAAAGTCATATCCAACTACAAATCATGAGAGATTCTTTTTATCCCATGTTTAATGCTTCACAACCGATGTTATACACTGTTTTATACAGCACTCCACTTTTACTTCACGCTAAAGCTAAAACCATTGTGACGTCATAACTGCACTTAACTGGGATATGAAAATCCAATGGGTCATATCCACGGAATAAAGGGGTAAACATGGGGATAACTATTGTATAACGTCCCTCTCAAGAATTTTTCACTCATATGGAGACGTCACCGTATGCCAATTAAGACCTATACTCGGCACTCAGGGCCATTGAGTAGTGAGGGTTCTTTATCGTGCCAGTGACAAAGGACCTAAGTTTTTAAGATCTTATCCGAAGGACCCGTGACTTTCACTTCTAATGCCGAGCGCTTGGCGAAGAGACAACCACTACCTATCTTTACGTCTTAGGCGAGAATCGAACCCGGGTCTCCCGATCACGAAACAAACGCTCTGCCACTAGGCAAGCGTGACCGGTCTCGGACCAGGAAGATGGCGAAGGAAGGAAGAAGAAAACAACTGAGACAACGGGAACAGAAAAGGACAGGAGGGGGCCAGCTCTTGATACGTTGAAGCCCTAGAAAGATAAGGTTTTATAAATATTATCGTTCAATGGAGAAAATGAAGGAACATGAGTAAAATTAAAACCAGTTGAAAAATGTTTTAAAAGGATATCAATAAACAAGTATTTTGAAAAATAATTATATTACGACTAACTCAAAAGTAGCAGATTTTTTTCAGCATTTTTTCTGCAATAACAAAACTACAAACTAGATGAGATCTCGTTGCGAGCAACGAGTGGGTCTTCCGTCCAATTCTTGATGAGATGAGATAAGATTTTGATTGCGATTTTCATTCTAAAATAATGATTTACCACAATCTGTCAAAAGACATTGAACATTAAAGACTTTAAAAAATCGGCCTTTTGCCCCTAACGGCCCCCAATTTTAGGAATCGGCCCTCTTTCTTCATATCATCTTAAAACTCTTAATATTTTGAAGATTTTTGTTCAACAACTATTCAAAAAATCTTTTTCGTTTTTGAGCTATTAGCAAAAGAAATATTTAAGGGGCCAACCCTTCAACTCCTTAACGGGGACGTTAAGCAAAAAATGAAAGGTTGCATATTGTTCAGAACATTATTTTGAACAACTTTTGTTCCATATATATTGCTTATCAAAATATTTCTCCCTTTCGAGATATAAAGGATCAAAGATTTAGCATTCTGGCCCCTTGTGGCCCCTAATCATGTACCATAGGACATAAAAACCATAATATATACTTGTAGACTGTTGAGATAAAGATCTTTGCTTCAGTAATGTATAACAAAATTTTAACTTATAAAGAGTTATCGATTGAAGACTTTTGGCCCCTCTTGGCCCCTTATTCGAGTGCCAAGCCCCTTTTTCGGGATCTCATCTTAAAGATCTAAAGATTTTGAACATTTTGTGTTCAACAATTGTTCAGAAATTGTTTTCTGTTTTTGAGATATTAGAAAAAGAAATATTTAGGGGCCAACCCTTCAACTCCTTAATGGGGACGTTTAGCAGAAAATTAAAAGTTGCATATTGTTCAGAACATTATTTTGAACAACTTTTGTTCAATATTGCTTATCAAAATATTTCTCCCTTTCGAGATATAAAGCATCAAAGATTTAGCATTCTGGCCCCTTGTGGCCCCTAATTATGTACCATACGACAAAAAAAAACCATAATATATAGTTGTAGATGGTTGAGATAAACATCTTTGCTTCAGTAATGTATTACAAAATATTAACTGATAAAGAGTTATCGATTGAAGACTTTTGGCCCCTCTTGGCCCCTAATTCGAGTGCCCAGCCCCTTTTTCGGGATCTCATCTTAAAGATCTTAAGATTTTGAACATTTTGTGTTCAACAACTATTCAGAAATTCTTTTTCGTTTTTGAGCTATTAGCAAAAGAAATATTTAGGGGCCAACCCTTCAACTCCTTAAAGGGGACGTTTAGCAAAAAATGAAGGGTTGCATACTGTTCAGAACATTATTTTGAACAGCTTTTATTCAATATTGCTTATCAAAATATTTCTCCCTTTCGAGATATAAAGCATCAAAGATTTAGCATTCTGGCCCCTGTGGCCCCTAATTATGTACCATACGACATAAAAAACATAATATATAGTTGTAGATGGTTGAGATAAACATCTTTGCTTCAGTAATGTATTACAAAATATTAACTGATAAAGAGTTATCGATTGAAGACTTTT